CGAAAAGAGAAGCTGCCAGGCCAATTTCTAGTACTCCTAGAGCTTCCTAGTCCCACCTAGCACTGACTGCCACCCACAGAATCAAGGCCAACTGTCTACATCATGGCTCTATTGTCATCCGTCGGCGGAGAGCAGGAGGCCAAGAGACCCAGTGGCTGGGAACACATGCTCAGCCTTCCCTTTCTTGGTAGCCAGTGCTCAGTCTGCCCTTCGGAGCTCGCCTGATGCAACTGGTTTCCAGGGAGATGCCGGGGCAAGAAGTGCCAGCTCCACCTCCCATTCCGCGTCCCCTTTCCCCAAATCTGTGGGACCTCACTGTTTTCCTACCATGTGACAGCATTGTGTCATAGCTGCTCTTGTATACAAACAAGCTAGACTATTTAAATGTCATTGTGAGAAAGATGCCGCCTGCTCTCATTTACATATCTATTCAGACCACTACTCCTCCCTTGATCCAGCCAGAAAAGTTTTTTCTTCCTCTTCCTTGGCAATTTATGCAGAGCTGGAGGACCATCTGCAAAGTTAACTACCTGTTGGGAGAAAAAGATGTTAAGAGTCTAGTCCCTACAGAGGTGGAGAATTAGAATGACGACATGTATAACTTATGGTATGACATCACAAATGTCATATGTTACGGGCTATTAAATGCTAAATTATCTCAAAAGCTATTCATAAATTTTCCCTATTGCCAAACAACACAAGCATCTTTCAGTCTTGGAGAGCTATGATACCCTCAGTGTTTTTAATCTTCAGAATTAGGTCCCAGCTGAATAAGAAAACAATTCTATGTGGGCAGCAGGGAATGAACCAAAATGAGAAACTGATCCCTTCCAGCACTAGCTCTCACTCTTGTGAAGTATGGATTAGGTCACAAATAAGATTGTATTCATCACCAAGCCCCATGGGCACACTCTGATTGAAGGTAAAGGAGTCCAGGAACTTCTCAAGTTGAGAAATAAGGCTGAGTTGGGTTGAAATTTCCAGTCCCTCCCTAAAGGCCTGGGAACCTGTTCCAAATCATAACCGAAACCAAGCTGAAGGACATCTGTTTCTTCAGAAAGTGTTTGGCATTGAAAAGAAGAACCACAGATTAGAACAGATAAATATTGTTGTGGGTGGTGAGGCCAAGAGAAGCGGGGAATCAGGAAAATCAGAGTCATCTAACCTACCAATAAACCCTTGTAACTCAATAAATACCACCAGAAAAAAAGAAGGAAAGAATAAAAGAAGGGAGGAAGAGGGAAAGCAAATCAATGGAAGAATTACTGTTATTCCTAGCAGTTGACACAACTTCAGTGAATAAAACTCTGCTGCATTTAGATGAACATTTGGACCCATTATTTGTATAATGATTTAATATTAGATCATCTACAAGAGGAGAGGCATTGAACATTCTGCTAGGAGTTTGGTAACAAAGATTACACATTAAACTTACATATTCAGCATAATATTGAGGAATAATTTTCTAAGCTTTGATGGACTACCAAGATCATTTTATGAGTAGATATTAAAGGTTTTTCTCTGATCCCCAAGTCACTTTTAGTGCAAATTAGAGTGACATGTAGCATCTAGTTAACTTCTACTCCAGGTATCCAGAGTTAACAGAGTGAGATAACAGGATGAAATCAGTAGGCAATTAAATCATATTTTCTACCCTGGAAATTTGGTATTCTGAATCATTTCTTTCAAAATCAACTTCAGTTGTTATTAAAAACGGAAAAAACAATAGCAATAGCAATAGTAGTAATAATGAGCATAATGATAATAGTAGTAGTAAAAGTAATAGCAGTGGTAATAATAATGGTAATACTACTACTAACCATACTTACACAGCACTTCCTATGTACTGGGCACTGTTTGAAGCATTTAAAATATATTAATTGATTTAATCCTGACAGCACTCCTATGAAATAGGAGCTGTTATTAGTATCCTGTTTTACGGATGCTCTCAATAATAACTCTTAGTTATTTTGTTGTTACTAAGGCCTTCTAGAAAAGTAGTATGGAAAGAAGTTAGTCACTCCCCTGCCTGCTGCTAGCCAGAGTTACTACTTCAAGTTTGCTGTCTCCTCTAGGAGTCTTCCCAAACACACAGTAAGATGTGCAGCCTGTTCCTACAGCTATAAAAAGTCACTAGGAGTGTTACAGGGCTATCCCCACATGGTCTGTGACCATCTAGAGCTCCATTAGAGCTTTCACCTTTGCCAGCTAAGGAAGGAGTGAGGGGAGGGGGGCTGAGGTGGGGGAATGGTTCCCAGGCCACATTTCCTGCCCAGTAACATGGTCCTCAAATAGCCAAGGCTGCAGGCCGAGAAATTCCTCACTAACAAGTTACGTCCTGGAGCTGGTTCCCTGAGCCTTTATTAAGAATGAATGTTTTCTTGCCAATCCATGACTCAAGGAAGACCGAGAACCGAGGCGAGACAAGCAGCAAAGTTTGTTTATGAACTTGCTCCACCCAAAGGAACATTTTTATGAAAGGGTGAAATTCCCGACTACTCAAAAAGAAGAAAGAAAAAAAAAAAACCTATGGGAAATTTAATCACCAACTGAATAAAAGTAAAAACGAAGCCCTACCAATGAAGATGTTGCCAGAGACAATGGGGCCCCTAGAGGAGCTGCAACTGTCTCGAGATAACAATCCCCCCCGCCCCCCGGGAATTCGCTGGCCCTAAGTACTACATTATTGCTATATTAGCTGAGGAATCTTTGTTCACAAGGCAACTGCATGCAAAACCATCTGTTACAACTCCTGGGTTCCCCTGGTTTGCAGACACGGCATTTACATTTCAAGAAGAACCTCCGGGAAGGAAGGGGGAGGTCTCTATCTTTCCCCTGGAGCAATTACCTTTTTATATAGCCTGGGAGGGGGAAGCTCTCCTTTCCCTGAAACTGAACCCAACAATTGAAAGGAGATAGGCCGCTTCAATAATGCACACGCAGCTCTCCTGGGATGCCTGGTCCTAAAGCCACGCATGCCCCATTACGGTTTTAACATTCTTAAATTGGTATGAATGGTAAAGCATCAAGAACAATGCCAAACTGTCTATAGGGCTTAATGAGGCTCTACTTTCTTAAGGAATCCCTTCTTCCTTTTCTTAAACATGATATTAAAGCTAATACTCTGCACTGCATAATAGCCTGAAATATACTACCTCTTAAAAGCAAACTGTAATCTGGGCCAAAGGAGACATTTTGTATCTTGATTTAGGTGGGGGCTATAGTAATATACATATGTCAAAATTCATGGAGGTGTAAACTTCAGATGTGTGCACCTTTACGTGTGTAACTTATACCACAATACATTTTTTTAAAAGAGAATATGTCAACGATACTCACAGTTAAGGAAATTCAGAATAAATCACTTGCCTTCAAGAATAGTAAGACTGTCCTCCTTCTAGATCCTCCCCTTACCCCTACCCACACTCGAAATCTCTCCTGAGAATTTTAAAGTTCAAGAACCTGAAAAATAGTTACCCAACTCTGCACCAAGCCAGTAACTACAAATGCTTCCTGTGTATCCTGGGAGCCTAAATATGCAACACAGAGAGAGGCACCTGTCACACGCCAAACCGTTCCAGCCACATATCAAAAATAAAAAAGCCAAGGTCTTTTTCTCATCTGATGGTGAGCTATGAAATTATGAGACATGCCTGGGGCTTTCAGCAAGACAACCCTCATGTTCATTGTTTTGTTTCTTGAGCCCTATTTTCAAATAGATGTTTCTAAACTCTTAAGTAGCACTCTTGCTTGCGGGAAGCAGGTTAACCCTGTAGGGTACAGCTCTCTGGCTGGAGCAGGAGAGCAACATTAAGTGAGGGTGGTTTCTGCAGGAAGCTCAGCAGGTTTAAATATGTACTTGGAGCTCTGTTACTCTAGCAGCTTCTTGAGAACCACGATGCTGAACGGAGTAGGGAGTCACTAAGTGACAGGCGGAATTCTGGAAGCTTCAACACTGCTGGGTCATGATTTAGCGGTACACTTCCTCCTCTGAACTACCAGGCAAAGAGGGCTGCTTGTCACTGAGGGAAACAAGGCCAAATTCATACCTTCCACTAAGCCTCCAGAAAGGCCACCCATCGAAGCAGAGGCTCCTTGCACTAATCATAGGGGGGTCACCTTTCCCCTTCATGCCCTTCAAGCGTCCTGAACCCCGCAGACAGGTCATTTCGGGAGCTCGGGGCTACCAAGCTGCATCTACTGATAGATATCGTGAATCAGGATCACCCAGCGAGCGCTTCCTGGACTGAGCCGAGTGCTCCAGTGATTTCTCTGGCCTGCCAACGAGTCATTTAAGAAGTGAAATATGCCAACGAGACCGGGTACCCCGTACTTCGGAACCGACCCTGCCGACCCTGGGATGGAGAGGGGCGGGTGTCGCCAAAGGCTGGGCAGGGTCTATGCGGATGCGTGCTCGCAGGTGGGTCTTGCAGGCTACCCCGGCCCTGCGCACTGTGCCAGCCTCACACCTGACCCGGTGCCAGGAATACAGCAAGAGGCTCCGGTGGGTATGCGCCTCCGTGGAGACACCGCCAACTCCGCTCCGGAAAGGTGCGGGTAGGAGGGCAAGGGGCGAAATGTGGGACCAGAAGCAAGATACCCCGAAATGCGAGCACCGGTGAAGTCTCTGGGGACTCGCGCTTCCTGCGCCTTTGCAACGCTTTGCTAGCACTGCGCTTCCCTTGGCAGCGCCTGGAAGCGGCGCGAGCTGAGATTTGCGAGGCCAGCGGGCAGGAAGGATGGAGGCGCAGGGGATCCCTTCCTGCCCTCACGCGCAGCTAGACTGCAGTGTCCCCTTTCACGCCCACCCTGGCCCGGGATTCCAGTGCCAAAGCGCTAGGGTTTCGCGGCTCGCCGAGGCCCAAGGGGTGACCTGGAGCAGCCGGCAAAAGAAAGCGGGGGGGTTGGGGGAAGGCGAGGCTGGACCTGCGGTCCGAGCGTGCGCGGGTCCGTGGCTCAGGACGCCAGTGCAAGGCCGCCCGCCAGCCACCCGCACCTACCTCGATCCACTTCTGCGCCTCGGAGAAGGCGGGCTCGGGGGGCGGCTCGGGCTGCAGGGGCTGAAGAGCTTCCAGACCGAGAGCGGGACAAGCCATTTGCGCAGCCCCGCGTCCGCTCGAGCGCCGGGATGAGGACGGCCGCCGCCGCCGCCGCCGCAGGAGCGCGCTCCCCGCCCCTTCCCGCCCGCCGGCCGCCCCTCCCCGCCTCTCCCCGCCCCCGGCCGGCGCAGGTCCCGGGAGAGCCGCGAGCTGCTAGAGGACGCCGCGGCAGCTGTTCCCAGAGCCGCCCGGGCTCCAACGCGCCGCGAGTGCCCCGCGGGAGCGAGCGCGGAGACGCCAGGAGCTTCTTCTCCTCCCCACCTTGGCGGGCCGCTCCGCCCCCGGGGAGGGGGGGCACAGCTACCGACTAAAAATAACCCGGAGTGAGCGCTGCGTGTCTCCCTCCCGCTCACACCCGGCCTGGTAGAGGGACTCCACTGGCCGCCCCGCACGTCCCTGCGCCCCGCCGGCTGCCGAGGGGCGGGCGGACGGGTCTGGCCTCGTATGGGAGACGCGCGCCCAGCGGGGCGCACCCGGACCCGGGGGAGCCGGCGCTGCGACACCGGAGCGGGAGGACGAGCGGGCCGCGCAGCACCTGCAGTCCCTCCTGGCCGCAGAGGTTGGGGCAAGGCGGGGCAGCCCCTGGCCCGGCGCCGGGAAGTACACAGCCACCTGATCTTTTTGTAAAAAGAAAAAGAAAAACGACCCCGATGAGCTTTTCCTCCTCCAGGGAAGCTATCTGTGTCCTAGTCTGTCGATGCAGTCAACCAACAGTCACTGTGTACCTACTATGCGTCAGGCACTGGGCCAGGCGCTGGGGACGCAGAGACGGAAACACACACACACATAACATAGACACCCCTACCTTGCCTTCGAGGTATTTACATTGTAGAAGGAATTGAGGGCCGGGACAGACAATAAACATGCAAATCAAAAGAAGATAATTGTGGCGGGTGTTGTTAAGATAGAAGAGGAGAAGATAATGACTTGGGAAGAAAAAGCGCGGGGTAATTTCCGATAGCCTTCCCCCCTTTTGGCTGGGAGGCTGACCTGTGAGTCCCGGTTCCACTAATGGGAGGGAGGCAGATGGTCAGTGAGCTAAGGAGAGACGTGCATTTATTTATCTCGTCCCTTCCTGCAGGTGGGTAGGGGGTTTCCAGAAGGTTCCCCATCTCCTTTTGTCCCACTAAACCTCCCAGGCCTAGGTATGGTAAAGGCTTCCCCATCCCATTATGGTCTCCCGACCTGGCTCACTTCTTTCTAACCCTTCCTTTAAACTCTCCTCGGCCATTCCCACTTGAGCACGCCTTCTGTTTTGCACTAGAGCCCAAGTGATGATCAAGGAAGGTGTCTGTAAGGAAATGTCCTGAAGAGGTGACAGGAGTGAGGGAGATTTAACTGTGTAACAGTCTGGGGGAAGAATTCCAGATGGATGAGCCAGCAGCAGGCTAGCAAGACTGGAGCTGGTGAGGAGAGCACCAGGCGGGAATGATAGCTTGGGAGAGGCAGGCCAGGTCCCGACTGCGGGTGAGGGGCACACACTACCTTTTAGATTGTTGCCTGGGTATCCCCTGGTAGGCCACCAGGGAGCTCTGACCTATGTGAGCCCGGCGCTGGGACCTCAAGCAAATGGATTCCCCTCTTCAGAATGGCTGCTGACAGGAGATTTCTGACGGTGGCCAGAGGTCACCTGGGTGCCTCAGCCGCTAAATCTCTGTTCCCCATCCAGAATCCGAGTTTAATCTTTGTCCAATTCTGCTGCTATAATAGGGGAATGGAACAAAAAGCAGGCCTAAAATTCCACCATTACCAGCTTTGGAGTCAGACAGGCTTTAGTTTATTTACTTTGAAAACACTTATGTGGCACTTATGCTATGCCAGGCACTGTTCTAAGTGCATTACAAATAATTGACTAACTCAATCCTTATTCCAGCCCTGTAAGATAGGACTATTATCATTCCTAGGAGGAAACCAGGGGACAGAGTTGGTGGACAGGGAGGGTTGGATTCAAGCCCAGACAGCCTGGCGCCAGGTCTGCTCCTAACTGCACACCAAACTAGACAGAGTCCTGTCCAGACTCTGCCACTTACAGGGTGTGCCTCAGTTTCCTCATCTAAAATGAGGTGGATATAGTCATCCAGCAGAATCATTGTGAAAGGCACGAACAAGGGGACTGAATGTAAACAGACCAAAGCTGGACCTGACAAACAAGCAGTTGCTGAGTATAGACCACTGATCCTCACCTCCACCCTGCCGTCCAAAACAGAGGGAGGGAAAAGTATACAAAGAAAAGATAAAGAAGGCAAGCATGGGAAAGGGCTAAAGACATGTGGGCAGAAGATGACCTTGTTTCCATAAAGAAACATGGCAAAGCAAATAGTTCACAAAATGACTCTGGTACACTAATACAATACATGGCTTTGGGCAGTGACATGGTCTGGCTCCATGTCCCCACCCAAATCTCATCTTTAATTATAATCTGAATTGCAATCCCCACATGTTGAGGAAGGGACCTGGTGGGAGGTGATTAGATCATGGGAGCAGTTTCCACCATGCTGTTCTCCTGATAGTGAATGAGTTCTCATAAGATCTGATGGCTTAAAAGTGTCTGGCAGCTCCCTCTTTGTTCTCTTTCTCCTGCCGCCTTGTGAAGAAGGCACTTGCTTCTTCATCGCCTTCTGCCATGATTGTAAGTTCCTGAGTCCTCCCCAGCCATGCGGAACTGTGAGTCAATTAAACCTCTTTCCTTTATAAATTACCCAGTCTCAGGTATCTCTTTATAGCAGTATGAGAATGGGTTAATATAGGCAGGTTCCACTGCATGGAGTAACTAGGAGGAGGGTAAGTCAGCTAGCCCAGATGGTATATCTGAATTCATTTGAAAATGAGTATGAAAATTTATCCTATCCTGATATATCTGGCATTGAAATTGGCATTTAAACTAAAACTTTTTTTTCTTTCAGTGAAAATACATTTTACATCTTTTAAGGTTTATAATCATAAGGTAACATTTGCTTTTTCTGAGCTTTTACCAATCACAAATTCGCACAGGCTACCAAAGACTCACAGACTTAGAACCATAATAGAATTCAAACCTAGTGCTGCTATCAATAATATCCATAAATAGTTGTTAGGAACCTACTATGTAGAAGATACAGAAGACTATGCTCTTTAGGAGCTAATAATTTTGTGGGTTTTTATTTACTTAAATTTTTAAATTTTGTGGGTACAGAGCTGGTATATACATTTATGAGGTATATGGGATATTTTGTTAAAGGCACAAAATGTGTAATAATCACACCAAAGTAAATGGCATATCCATTACCTCAAGCATTTATCTTTGTGTTACAAACAATCCAGTTATACTCTTTTAGTTTTTGTTTGTTTGTTTGTTTTTGAGACAGAGTCTCACTCTGTCACGCAGGCTGGAGCGCAGTGGCACAATCTGGGCTCACTGCAACCTCCACCTCCCAGGGTCAAGCAATTCTCCTGCCTCAGCCTCCCAAGTAGCTGGGATTACAGGTGCCCGCCACCACGCCAGGCTATGTTTTGTATTTTTAGTAGAGACAGGGTTTCACCATTTTGGCCAGGATGGTCTTGATCTCCTGACCTTATGATCTGCCCACCTTGGCCTCCCAAAGTGCTGGGATTACAGGCATGAGCCACCACGCTCGGCCTACTTATTTTTAAATTTACAATTAAATGACTATAGTCACCCTGTTGTGCTATCAAATACTAGATCTTATTTATCTTCCTATTTTTTTGTACCCGTTAACATCCGCACTTGCAATCCAATCCCCACCCCCCACAACTATCCTTCCCAGCCTTTGGTAGCCATCGGTCTGCTATCTCCATGAGTTCAATTGTTTTAATTTTTAGCTCCCACAAATAAGTAAGAACATGCTAAGTTTGTCTTTCTGTGCCTGGTTTATTTCACTTATCACAATGACCTCCTGTTCCATCCATGTTGTTGCAGATGACAGAATCTCATTCTTTTCCATGGCTGAATAGTACTTAGTAGTACTTCATTAGTGAAATGATATTTTCATTTCTCTATAATGTAGTTCTTTCAAATATAAAAATAATATGTGCCATTGGGGAAAATTTGAAAAATATAGTGAAGAAAATAAATCTTGAAGAAACCCCACAATTCAGAGAGTATCATGATGTGGGGGGTATGAAGTAACGTTTTCGAGTTTTTTGGTTTTGGTTTTGGTTTTTTGAAACGGAGTCTCACTCTGTTGCTCAGGCTACAGTGCAGTGGCGTGATCTCGGCCCACTGCAATTCCACCTCCAGGGTTCAAACTATTATCCTGCCTCAGCCTCCTAAGTAGCTGGGATTACAGGCACCCACCAGCATGCTTGGCAATTTTTTTTTTTTTTTTTTAGTAGAGATGGGGTTTCACCATGTTGGCCAGGCTGATTTCGAATTCTTGACCTCAAATGATCCACCCACCTCAGCCTCCCAAAGTGCTAGGATTACAGGGGCGAGCCACTGTGCCTGGCCGATTATGATTGGAGAAAAACACAAAAGACAAAATACTGTATGATAAGTGCCAAATTAGAGATGTAGTGTATTCAAAGAATATAGGTTGGTTGTTGGTGGTTTTGTTTTGTTTGGTTTTGTTTGGTGACAGCTTTATGGAGATATAATTCACATACCCTACTATCCACCTATTTAAAGTGTACAATTCAATGGTTTTCAGTATATTCACAGAGTTGTGCAAGTATCACCACATTTAATTTTGGCACATTTTTACCTCATCCAACTGAGCCCTGGCAACCATGACTCTACTTTCTGTCTCCATACATTTGCCTGTTCTGGACATTTCATATAAATGGAATCATACAATATGTGGCCCTTTTGTGTGTGACTTCATCAGCATGATATTCAGGTTCATTCATGTTGCAGCATGTATCAGTACTTTGTTCCTTTTTATTGCCAAATAATATGCCAATGTATGATTATGTATTTTGTATATCCATTCATCAGGTTTTTTTTTGTTTTTTTCTAGACAGTTTACATATATTTAGCACATTATTCGTAGCAAGAATCTAACACACATTTTGTCACTTAATCCTTACAATGATCGGCCGGGCGCTGTAA